GTCAGTGAAATTGAGTAAGAGTGGATATTATATTCTTCTTCTGGGTATGTGTGTGGTGTATGATTTGTCATACCCCCAGACATCACTGCCTTTGGAGAAGAGAGATGACTTGATGACCTCGGGGGCCATCCAGGAGTAGGTGCCTGCAGCTGACATTTTTGTGGTTTTGTGCCACTCCCTGGCCAGGCCGAAATCTGTGATCTTCAAGGTCTTCCTCCCGATGTCGTCATTCTCAATCTTTTCAAGTAATAAAACTGAAAAGAGGATACGAAGAAAGGGATACGTTAGAAGGCAGAAAACGAGGATAAATAAAGATACGCGAGGGAAAAGGGCATAAGAAGCAATGAGTGATTGAGAGAAAAGGAAAAGTGGAGACACGGGATCGGGATGAAAGTGACAGATGTGAGGGGGGATAGAAGAGAAGGGAGAAAGACGAGTGAAAGAGAAAGGGAGATACAAAGAGTGGGGGACAGAGAAAAAGACAACCGTGCAGGTGAGCAGATGATAGTCGATATTCAACGGGGCCAACAGGTATGCAGGTCATTTATTACTGTAGAAACAGAAGGTTGACAGCGTCACAAAGCACCTGTCCTCGGGTCCTAAAACTGTTTAACACATTAAAGACAGCCGGAACCCTCCAAACCTGCCTGTAACTCTACACCTGGCCTGAGAGCCCTGCCACAGTGAACCGCAACCCACTGACGTCTGAAGACCCTCTACACCAATCATGTGCTGAAGAGAAGAAAATGACTCACATGCAAATACATTTTTCTAACCGGTTCTGTGTGAGGACAAAACTGTGAACACAAAAATCTGTTTGGGAATGAGAAAGAGGATTTTAAGCACTTGAATCAAACTTCTTCAAGCGCTGTAACAGGATCAGTTTTGCTTTTCAGGTCAAAGTGGACCTGATGTTGAACTACATCATAATAAGCCCCCAATAGAAACCAATGTACATATACATGTTGCATTGTATTCTGTTTAATGTTAGTGTCGAATCCCTATATGTTCCTATATAACGGGGTGTATATAATTCTAGACCAGTTTTAACTCAGCTAGATACATGTTATTCTAATTCAATTATTTCATGATAAAATGTTTCTACTCCCTGAATTCAAAGCAAGAAAAATAAAGGAAACCCACATCTTTCAATACTTATTCTAAGGTAAAAACACAATCATTTTTATTTTCAGGTGATTATGGATGAATGAAAATATATTATTATATTACATTACTGCCAATAGATCCTTCTAAATGTTACACACTGGACTTTGGATGGGACAATTCAAATCCCTTTCAATTTTCAGTTAATCCACTAATTGATTGTTTCAGCTCTAGTAAAATGTACACATTTGAGTGAAAAATACAGAAATGTAAAAAAGTAAATGCGCAAAAACAATCAAATAAAAGACGTAAAACCACAGTGACCACAGTGCAATAGAGCAACCAGGCGACGACTGGGGAGGGGTAACATCTTTCTACTGTCAAATCTTTCCTTTCTACAGAAATAAACCTTCTTCCTTTGTGCTGATACACCATCTGCCAAATATTCAAGAAGCAGCCTTTTCCATGAAGTGGTGTATCAACAGCCAAAACAGACTCTTTGATCCTTTGATCCTCTTGGTATTATTTTCAACATTTGTTTTTGTCTCTGCCAAGATCTCCTCACATTACAAACTGTCCCATTTCATTATTTACATGCGGCCCTGACTCTGCAGGTCAGTGTGAACATGTCCTATCAGCTGTGTTGAAACTACAACACAGGAGTCTGAATGTCCCTTCAGGTGGTTTGACAGAGGTGTAAGAGTTTAACAGTATTAAAACAAACACGTGACCTGAGAGCATTGCTGGCACAAACGCTGTGGTAATATTCCCATGGGAAAAAATGATGGCATGATAAAGATACATAGTGCTGAAATACACATCAAGGTTTCTTCACTACTGTGTTACAATGTACCACTCAGGTGTTGCTCAGTTTAAAGGCTACAGTATTCAACAGAGGCTCTTTGATGTATTTGTGCAATGAAGAATGAGCTGCACGTTGTGTGCTGTATTATCACCGACGACCTTGGACTTACTCCTCCGCAGCAAAACTAAAACCTGCCAGCACACACGTATACACAAACACTAACGCACACACACTTCTTCAATTCTCATTCAGATGCAAACATGCAACTATATTACACTCGTGTACTTTTCTAATGACCATCTGAGACCCAGTTGGTATAGCTTACCCACAGTAAGCATACTGATCTTCAATCCATCATCCAACGACCAGTTACACAACAAATGTGTCAAGACAGGACCAGACCTACTGAAAGATGTAGGAGGGGTGGAAAGGAGGATAGCTGTCGACTTCAAGAAAAGATAGCGTGGTCAGATATTAGCTCTGAGACCTTGGGGCAGATGCATAAAACTCAACCGACTCAAAATCTGTGTATGCAGAAAACTGAAAGTGACATGCAGACTTTCCTTCTTGCATTGTACTGGCTCTTTTAAAAAAGCCTTTAATTGGCAAAAAAATATTTATCAGTTATACCTGTCCCACTTTTCCAGCCCAATACCTATACTCAACTTTCACAATAAAGATGTTCATACATGCATTACATTGATGTACATTAAATTATACTGTTCAAGGTTTATTTAACCGTGCCATTATAATACTATAATATAATATTAAGAAGCGACGCGAGCTGAAAGGATTAGTCGATTAATCAATCTACCAACAGAAATTAATCATAATATATTGATAATTGATAAAAGCAAATACACATCTGCAGGTTCCATCTTCTAAAGTGTGAGGATTTACTGTTTGTCTTTGCTTTATGTGATAAGGAACTAAATAGCTTTAAGATCATTGGTCAGACAAAACAAACTATTTAATGATGTCAACTTGGGGTTATGGACATGGCATGTTTTTCCCAGTTCTATAGACAAAATAACCAATAATCAATAATTAGAGTTAGAGTTACCTGCCACTGAAGATGCAACACAACCCAAGCAGCACTATTCCACACAGCCAATACTGTAACATTGCCTCGCTATACTATCTTCTGATTGGTCACTCATCGTTCACATTTGTCAGGTCACTGTACCAACAACAGGATTCATTTTGAATTCAATGTGCATTTTTAAAAATGTCTCACAGATAAACTTAATTCAAAACAACATTCTATACACGAATCTACAGCATGCTGTTTGACATTTTATAATATGCTGTGTTGTGTAAATCCAGGGTACAAAATTAACTTTCTTAGCTCATCTGCCAATGGCAGGTAAACTGTGAACATTTACCAACTACATCCTTGACTAAAATTAATTACCTCAGGTTTTGAGCCATTCTGGACCTTTTGAGGTTTATATTTTAGCCAGGATCTCAGGGATAACGCGTCATTCAGACGCCATCTCTTGCAAAAACACCAACCTCCCTGACTTTTCTCTTTGTCTACATGTTTTCTTTTTGGTGGGTTAACAAAACCCAATAATACTAAAAATAATAATGGAGATGTTCCTTACGGCAGAAACATCGGCAGACATTGTGTAAAAGGCACCAAATAGTAGTAAGCTGCTTTGATTTGATTTTTCCACCAAAAACAAAACATTGCTGCACTTGGTGCTTGGTGGTAATCATTTTTGACCGTCTTTCTTTATCGTATTTCTAATATTCTGCTATTCTCACTCCCAATTCTTCAAGTCTGCATTTTTTTATGCATTTTTCATTTCCATAGCACTTTGACTAAAACCACCAAAGTCATTCAGCTCGTCTACTGCAACCATTTTACTTAATTTACCACCTCAATAAACAGAAGAAACAGTTCTTTCCTTTAGACACATTAGACACAGTTATAGAGTGCGATGGTTAAGATTGTCCTGAGCATACACAAACATTTTCAATGGGCCTGAAATGATTTCAAGCAGCATTTTAACTGTAGTGTGACTCCTATGGGTCTCCATTAATAACAGGGGTAATGGTGCCATTACTAGCCTCGGGCACAGAGGGGATCCTCTACCCAGGCTGCAACAATAGGAATTCCATTACAAACAGGTTTCACTAGACCAATGATATACTCCTACTTCCTGTTGTCAAGTCCTCTCTCAGTGATTCCATAGATTCCTCCCAGCAGGCTCTGTAGGTTTATAATGACTTACGATGGGTTAGTTACACAACCTAGCAGAACGGTGGTTTTGGGATAAACCCATCTGCGTTGATTGGCCTATAGAATATCATGCCAAATACTTTCTTTGTAGCTCCATGATACTTCAGTGTCAGCCCTCTAGAAATTTCTGATAAAAGACCTTGCTCCCGTCTACATGACTCCATACTGACGTTATGCTACAAGAAACACCTTTGAACCTCAACCAGCCATTTTGTTTGAGTCTATTAGCAGCCAAGCTAACAACACAGAAACACTACATAGCCACTGCCGGTTAACCTGTGCTTCAATTGATAAGGTGCTACACATCACCACCCATCTATCCATTCATAAAAATGTATATAGATTTTAGATTTAGATTTTAAATAAATGCATATCAAATGAAACAAAGCCTCCCTAAATAAAACAGACCATGTGATAATAGTATTGGCAATTGGAGCTGCAGCTAAAAATGACTTACATGCCACATTTTTTATCAGTAATCTTTTGGTCTATGAAATGTCTGAAAATAGAAGATGCCCTGAAGTCCAGAGCTTTGTTTGCTATTATTACAGTTAAGTGACTCTCACAATCTGTATCTCATCACATTTTCTGAACTTGAATAATACTGAGATGATACTTTATATAATAACAGGTGTTAAAGGAGACAATCATCATCGTCTCCTCTTCACTAACTAATGGCTCACCTCCAGCAACACATGCCACCAGCCCTTCTTTGAAGTCCACCTCCCATGACCTCTCCACCCTATTCTAATCTAAGGTTTTCCAAGAAAGGTTAATCTCAGCAGGTTTTCAACAATGAGCTCCATATCAAATCATTTGGCCGGAGCCTTGTAATATAAGCCTGACCTAAAGGGAAAAGCCGCACGTTAAAACAGAACATTTAGTTTAATTGGAATTAAATTATTCTTTACGGCATCTCACTGGTTTCAGACATAGTTTACATTTTACATCCAACCAGGTCATTATGCAGAAACACTGAAAAAAAAAAGTAATGTGACAATACTTGGAATCATCGCTTGAAATCTGCATTAAAAACGCAGAAAAAGATGCTCCGGTTGAGGTTTTTGGGTCATCCTTAAAGTCGAGTCACAGGACAA